TGTTAGAACTCAATGATTATCCTAATTATATTTTAGATTTTTTATATTTAAAATGAGATGTTTATCTTATATTTGATTGTGTTTATCTGCAGTTAGTTACACGAATTCAGTTATAGGATGAAATCGGATAGGGATGAAATTGTTCAGGGATGAACGGGTTTAAGAGTTTTAAGAGTTTAAGAGTTTTTAAGAGTTTTAGCCAAATGCTTTATAATATAGTATAGATATATATATATATATATATATATTCAATTTTAATCGAATTTTCAAAAATATTGACCGCATGTATATTCACATGTATGAAGACGGAGTCAAAAAAAATATTCAAGGTGGTCCTTTTAAATTTAATTAATATATATCATAAATAATAAACTAACTTATACTAACACGTCATTATACTTTTTAAAACTTATAACCAATTAGTGACCTCGTTCTCTTAAAATTACACAAAGCCTTTAATCGTGGAATATAAGTTAAAGTGATGAGTGCACCAAAGGATTTGAATTCTTGATCAATTTTAATTACAAACGAACCCATAAATTACGCTTTTTAAAGCAATTGATTTGGTGTTTCTTTTTAGTGTTGATCTAATAGAACTCTTCGATTAAGATTGATCCAAATGTGAAGATCTCTTCTTACTTCTTACACTTCTCATCACAACTCTCGTTCTCACCGGACATTAACCCTAAACTAAAATCGAGGATGATGGATAAAACGAATGAATATGTAAAGCAGATTGAGGTTCGAGTTCTCAACTTTAGGAAGGCTATTTGATTATGGTTCATTGTGTATGTGCACTTTTAATATTAAAAAAAGAAAAGTGATCTCGTTCAACTCGAATTTAACTGTTTGATCAAATAGGATATGGCCCGTTTCATCTATTCGATTTGACAATGGAAACATGTATACTACGAATCTAAATAAAATGTTATCATAAATCAACGGAAGCAATAAATGCCAATAATTACGATTTAAATAATGAATCAAAGGTTAAATAAGGCATGTGCAAAGTTCTAATGCAGTAGGGGACATGGCACCCGCACCTAGCAATGTCACATGGTGGTGTGCCCATGCATCCTATTAATACTCAAATCTTAAGTGTTTATTTTTGTCCCAATTTTAACACTCATTCAAATTCTATAATTTGGACTCTAGCATTCCAAAAACACCCCATCTTTTTCGTGCCACACATTATTTGATTTTGACTTTTTATGGTCCATTTTCTTCATAAGTATAATTTAATTTTGAAATACCCTTTTTTTTATATTGGATTTAATCAAGTTTTATTATTATTAATGCTGTCCCCATGATTGTTAATGCATCAAAATCATGGATTGCCAGTGCACGTGAAAATTGACCTTTTTTTTCTTTTATGTCACTTTCTAATTTTTTGTGTACTTTTCTTTTTCATTTTCTATATAAATATTTCTAAAGACGTTGTCGTTACCTTTTTATTATTATTTAAGTTAGAAACTAATGTCGAGCTAATGTTTGACATAATGTCAACTTGAAGTGAAGTTGTTAACAACTATAACCGTGTCCGGTAATAAAAATGCCAATCATTTGATATCTAATGGTCTTGACAAGACATTTGATCGAAAATTCATGTCTATTGCGTCGCACATGAGATTGTAGGGACAATTTTGTGACCATTTACATTCAATTTTCTTTGCTTTGGTGATGGATGAACCCAACGTTGTCAGTGCCTTATTATGAGATATTGTTGTTACTGTTTTTTCCACGTTGTTCGAGTCATTTAGAATGATCCTTCATAGTTGGAAGCATTTAGAATCATCCTTCTTAGCTGGGATCACTTAAGGTTATAGTGTCTTATCAAAGTCCTAACGATAAACAAGATAAGACAATCCTATATTGCTTTTTAAAAGTTGTGAAAAATGATTATGGTGCTTGTGGAGGTTGAAAAAAGGGAAATTGATGTGGATGGAAGCTTGAAGTGGAAGAGTATAAGAAAATGACAACATTTTCAATTCAAATAAATGTAATCATGGTATCTAATCCATAAACCCATGTCAAATGTTTCCTTTAATAGCTTAGACATGTGTTTTGTCTTTTGAGGCTACATTAAAGGATGAAAAAAAATATCAGTTTGATAATACAAATGTTATATTTATATAACAACTCAAACGAGTCTTAACATAATACGAATGCTTAAAACATGAGAACTCAAACTTATCCCTTGTCACACAATTAGTAGGAAGCCTCCATGCAGACGTCCACAACTTTCAGATTTTCGATTTTTGCTGCTTCTTTGTTTCAGATCATATTTCTTTCGACAATTATAACTTTGGAGTTGATTTTTCACAAGTCATGAAATCCATGTGGCTTTACCAATAGGTTAAATTACATTGCATAAGATTTCACCAACATGACCTCCAGAAAAAGATGTTCCAATCCAAGTACAAGTAATGGGCTTATAAGATCTCAATGGGCCTTTTATTGCCATCTTGTATTGGGCTTATATTCATGAATAAATAGAATAAAAAACTAATTTTATCATTTTTTTCTTTCTATTTTAAATATTAAATCCTTATATTTTTTTAAAATAAATAAATCGTTTTTAAATTTTCTTATTCTAAATGATTAAGTCTTTAAATATCGTTTTTATATAAAATTTACCTTTTTTTATTTCTTATTCATCAATTATTAAAAAGGAACATAAAATTAATTACGTAAAATTATTCCCAAAAAACATGCTAAAAATTGTTAAATTATAGGACCAATATAAATACCGGCCTTTTTTGTTTCTAAAAGCACTAGAACTCTTCCGGTTCCCTCTCAAACCCTGACCCAGATCATCACATTATGCTGATTCGATCACTCTATCAAACCCTGACCCTGATCATCACCTTATACTGATTCGATTCCTCGATGACTGTTCTCTCAGATTACAAAGAGGAAGATCAGAAGCCAACGGAAAATGCCAGAAAGAACAGGAAGATCGGTAGATGGAGGAGTCAGGATTCTTGATCCAGACAAAAAAAAAACAAGAAGATCGATAGACGGAAGAGTCAAACGACGATGATGTGGAAGCCGTTTACTGAACTTCTAACAAACCCGCTCAAAATAAGACAAGGAAGAGTTATGTTGCTTTTCTGTTCTTTTTTGTATATAGGTAATATTAGTTTCACAGCTATTCTTCCAAATTATGCTTCTTTATTTATGCCAAATGGTTTTCCTTGGTTATAGCGCAGATAGCTGTTGAAGAACTATATCAATCCAGATCATTGAGGTATGTGCATTTGAACAACACATAACTTGGTAGATCTATGACCTATCAGTATCTCATTTGGATAACATGAATAAGATAGATTTCAATCCAACGGTATATGCACAAAACAACTTGGATAGGCAACTCTTATATGAATTTGTTCATGCTTTGCCTTTTCTAGTCATACAACATCGTCTTAAATTGCATTTGCTTGCCTAAGTCTCTGAACATTTTATTTCATTTGGATCCCTCACATACATACAATACCTGCTCAACTAAATAAGTGTTAAAATGACAAAGTGGTTCTTGACAGTTGACATAATCCTACAACATATTCCACTTAGGATTATTTAAGTTTATTAAAAAAAAACAAAAGTCTCAAAATACTGTCTAGTAGTAAACATCTATAAAAATTCAACAACCCATGATATAATGGTTATACAGCGCAAACGCAGGCATAAAGAATTTACAATATTATATCATCTTAAACAGGTTTCCAAGAGAATGACCACACCACAACTACAAGTACTCTAATGTATTAGGAAATAGATGTTGAAGATACTATTACTACATAGTCCAGCTACGAGTGTCTTATGACAAGGTTACCTCTCAGTCAGTTCTCTGCTTTTGTCTTGAAGAACATCAACAATCATGACGTACCTTGTTGTGCAACAAGTTCCCATATATGGATAGCAACATGAAGGAATGCAGCAACAATGATCATAAGAATAACTCATACAAATGAGTCTGCTCATGAGTGCTTGCCATAGAGAAGAAATCACAGGAATGAGGAACAAAACCTATACTGACAAAGGAAGGGCCACTATGATATTCATGAATCTAATGCGTATAAGATCTAAAAACTAAGCTCTTGTGAATTTATTATTAATTCAGAGTACAACAGAAGAAAATATCCAGAAGACGGAGTTGTAGACGACGTAATGATGATTCTATCCTGTGAAGAGTAACTACGTATTCATAGATATATCATCTTAAATCAAATAAGTGTAAGGATATGAATGGAAGAGGTTGACAATAAGTTCTTTCAAAATTAACTATTTGTCCCTCTGTTAGAGGTGTTCCAAAAATGTCTGCGATCGATTTTGATGGTCTCTCATTCCTTTCTATGATTTGATTGTCGTTCTTTACCTAATAGATCTTATGAATGCTAGCCATGGTTCAATAGAATGCAAAATCAAAAGAGAGGGGAAGAATTCAAAGCAAGGGATTAGGCCTGCACAGTTTGTAGAGAGAGTCTTTTCTTTCTTTACATAGCGTATTCATGAACACGTAGTATACTGGGGGATTAGAACATCGTGCTAGGTGTTTACTATTCTATCAGAAGTCATAGTATGCTAGGAAATTAGAACATTGTTATAGTAGCGTGGACAGAAAAGGAAAGTAAATTTAAAATGATATCCTTGTAAGGGACAAAAGCATGGTTTCCCCTTGTTTTGCAGCTGATTATTATGTTACCGCAGACGTTTGTTTTTTATGTAGCGATGCACTGTTGTCCCTGGGGTTTTTCTTGTTTTGGAGCTCCCTGTTCACTAGGGATGCAGAGTTAGAAACTCATGTTGATTTGCTTTGTACGTAAAAGAAGTATTTTAATGTTTTGTCTCCTCCCCAAGGTAGCTGTAATTTAATGAACCTTCTTATTCTTGATTGTGTTTTATTGATGACCATACACCTTTTCTACATATAAGTTACTATATATTTCCCCAGCTAGTTTATCTTAATCTTGATATACATACATTAAAATAAGACTCCTTCTCTAACTGTAACAGTAGCATTGCTGAGCACTGTATTGTTCATCCAGCTAGGTTCTCCCATGGTAGTATGATACTCAACTATCCTATAGAGCAATTCAATCTCGTGGTAAGGCTAGGGCTACGAAAACTCGTTTTGTATGAGGTTGACAAATATGGTGGAGCATATGGGTGAAGTTTAATATGTAAAAGCTGAACCTCCACCTCCCCCCCATGGGTCTTTCACCATTTAGCTATGCTAAAGAGAAAGGTGCTGAAGATGCTATTAGGCTTGACAGTTTGATAAGTTGTTCATATAAGTTCGTCGTTTTTCTGTTGTAGAAGTTAAAGAAAAGCCTACACTATTGGTTGCTACCATGTCTTCAATAATAGTTTGATGAAAGCAACTTGTTTTCTGGTTCAAGGTGTCAACTTAATAGTGTGATGCGTGTTATGGTTATTCCTATCATGTCTTCAATAATCGTTCTCCGGTTTTGCATGGCCTATATGTTGGATGTAGATATTGTGAGAGGATAATAAAATCTAAATGTTGGTTTTCTATAACGCATTGATATGTTGAGTTCTAACTTCTGGAAGCCTAAGGTCCTTTTACATAGATATATAGATCTCATTATTCGATTTCTTTTTGTTTCACATTTTATCATGTCATTGAATTATATTGGTATTTCAGAATGTACAGTAATTTATCTTGTCACATTGGGGGAGGTAGTTGAGATATATAGATTGCTGCAAATCTGTAAGTAAAGGATAGTCCTGCTTCACTCAACACCTTGATCCCCAATTTGAGACTCTTTTTGGTTCTTTAACCATCTTTTCAATTCTTATAAATTATTAAACAGTTCCTCATAAAGGAAATGTTCTAAATATGGAGAATTATACTCGGGGCCAGTCTCTGCAAGAGGTCACCATTAACATTCCTGTTCCTCATGGAACCAAGGCCAGATTTATTGTGTGTTAAATAAAGAAGAATCGTGTCAAGGGTCAGCCTCCATGCTTGGTGCAAGTGTGTTAATGGAACTTCATTTATTTTGCACACTTTGCTGTGATATATCATTCATCTCCTCTAAGATCCACTCATAAAACGGTCAAATAACCTCTTTTATTTCATATCTTACATCGAATATTACATTGTCCATATTTCATTCCCTTGTGCTGAGGATCAAAAATATTTGCCAGTGCTTTTAGACAAGCAGGAATAGAGAACCAACAGTAGACTAAATATATCTAATGTCATATGAAGATTTCATGAATTTTAGTTTTTTACAGCAGCAGGTTAAGTTTCTCTTTCACGAACATATAGTTTACTACTCTGGTCTTGACTGTCAATTCCAGCAGAATCAAGTGGAGTGTGGAATTGAGCAGGATCAAGTGGAATGGTGGAATTGACAGTCAGGATAAGAGGAGTAAACTATTTGTTCATGAACAAGAAACTTGACCTGCTGTCGTAGAATACTAAAAATGATGGTGTCTTTATATGAGAGAAGCAAATGGGCCTGCCAACAAGCCAAGAAATGAAGAGATTTGTAGCTGAGGTGAATTATTCTTACTATCTTATTCACGAGTTTGTTCTGCTTGTTTTCCTTTAGTTACAGATGACAATACAAATATACGCAGCACCTGGAGATGGAGGTTTTTTAATGGCCAATATAATTTAGCATTAATTTCCCGGAACTTGTTAGGCAACTCTTTTGCTTGATACGCGTGATAAAAAAAACATGACCTTTCATCATTCTCCTGTAATGCTTTTGCAGAAGGTACAATTGTCTGTTGCATACAAGACTTTATTTATGAAATGCCAGGCGAATATGTTAATAAATTGGTAGTGAAACAAGAAGTGATCCTAAACTAAGGGTGTTTGGGGGAATCCGTAGTTCCAATAATTAGGAAAAGCAAGAGCGTGTAATGTAGAGACACGTATCTGGGAAAAAACATGTCTATTTCGAAAGTAGGTGTCCCCATGAAGGGAACGACACCCCGCATGAAGTACTAGGGACCATGCATTAGGAATATCTTTTTCTACTGTTTGTTGTATGCTTCTTTCTTTCCCATTTGAACATATAAAAATTTCTGTTGAGACTTTTTAATCCAAATTTACACAATCCTATCTGCTGCCTGCATTGTTATATTTTTTTGCAGGTGTGATTGAAGAATAGTTTTGTTGAGGAAAGCCATGTGGTCTTGAACATGCTTTGTAGGTAAGCCATATCATTGAAGCTTTAGTGGTAAGATATATAACCAAAAAAGAAAGTAAAAAAAGTTAAATTAACAAATGAAGTTGATAATAGATAGGTGGTGATGTTGAATTGAAGAGACAAGTGGGGGAACATACAATCATTCATCCCATGTAGTTACATAAGACTACAAAATAACCCAAACCATCACATGTCTTATCCTCATCCCCACCCCCTTCTATGCCCTTTGGCTTTGGCTTTGGCTTTGGCTTAGGCTTTGAGTTTGGGGAGGTGACATGTATCCTTTGGTATGCTATCATCATTTTATACAACTTAACTGAACACATGAAATCACTTGTAAAGAAACCTTTCTTAAGTGCATCAGTTCTTGTTTTGAAATCAAATACGTAGGGACCGTTTGCCAAATGTTTATCCAGTAAGTGTTTACTGAGATCACTTACTTTATTAAATGCACATGGCGAAGGTCTAGAATCTTACATGGTAAGAGCAATGGCAAGGACCGAGTCTTACCCGGTAAGTGAAGGTGATTGCTTTTATCCGGTTATACGATGTCGTTTTGATGGACTAGAATGTTATTCCGTAAGGTAAATGAGAATGTGAGTTTAGTGTTTACTAGATAAGCGTTTAGTGTCTGTTTTCCACTTGACCAAATGTTGGTATTGAAAATAAGGAGTAGCACGATGAGATGGTTCCCTCCCCTTGAGTTATGTCACAATCATCACTATAATAATACATTATTATTATTAATCAAAATAAAGAGATGTTGACATACTTTTTTCAAAATAAAGCCTTGAAAAACAAAAAATGCTTGTCCAATTGTCAAATTGCATTGATGGTTTTAATTATATAAACCAAGTTCGTTTTCACACTTGAAAACATTAAAAGAAAAACCCATATTCATAATCGTATTGAACATCAAAAGAATAATGAGCAAATATTGGGAAAAAGAAGTTGGGTGGAAATTACTTAAGAGATTTAAACCCATGTTAAAAAGAATATATAAATAGACATGGCCTTTTGGGTAGAGATATTTGGTCCGTTACAAGTCTCTCTCTACTTGATTGAATCATTTTATAAATAGAATTATGCCCCTTTTTGCCAAAGAAACCACATGATCAACCTTACACATTCATTGTACAATAAATATCACTTCATTAATCCATTTCTATTTTGGTTATAAATTTGTAGCTACCCAATTAATAATAATATAACCCCCATGCCTTCGTTGATATTGTAACTTATGCTACATGTATAATATAAACAAACGACATTTTTTTTAAGAATTCCAAAGAATTGAAACTGATTATATGTACATATCCCCAGGTGATTAACAAACCCTCTTTTTGACCTTTTCGAAACCAGTTTGCATAGTTGCTAGATGCTCTTGCTCAATGTTCGCCTTTCTTCATCACTTTATTACATATATACACGTACACACACACACACACACACACACACACATATATATATATATATATATATATATATATATATATATAGGAGTCAAGTTTAGGGAAAACTTCAAATAAATGAAAAACTGAGGTAATCGTTCATCTGGACGGTATCTACATATAATTTTTAAGCAATTTATTCGGTATCTACATGTGCGTCAAAACCAAGAGACAACTTTAGTTACTTATAAGTACATGTTCATACCTTTCAGATGAATGGTTATCATGATGTTATTCAGATTTTCATTTTTTAGGGTTTCCCTTGAACCTTTACCTCTCTCTCTGTATGTATATATATATATATATATATATATATATATATATATGTGTGTGTATATATATATGATATAAAATTAGAGTTGAAGTAATTATAGCCAAAGATGGCAACATCAGGGTCCCATATGTGCCAATTTATTAACGATGACATACCTTTCCTTTCTTTCCCAGCTGTTTTGGCCTTTTGTTTTCATTCTCCCATCTCTTTATCTCCATCTCTCTCCCATTTGGCATCTCTCAATCCATTTCCTCATTCCACTTCTTAAAATGGCCAAAACAACGCTTGCGAATCCGCATATATTATCTTTCAAATTCTTTCAACTATAAGTCATCAAACAACTCTAAATTTACTCCGTCTTTTGAATAGAGAGAACTAAAGCCAACGATCGTTGTGAAGGTGTGCTTCAGACACGTGTTGCTCACATGTCGATTCGTACGTGTTTTCTTTTTTAAAATAAAAGAAAGAAACATGAAGAAATGGGCACTCTCAAAAAGTTATGTTGGCATATTGTTGTAGTTGTAGTGCATGGAATGGAATTATGCATCTTGCAATTCTAAAGCTATGCCGTTTTTGGTAATCATAATTAAACTTTAACTTCTCATTTTTAAAGCTTTGTCTTGGTTTATACAGATTCTATAAATAAAATTAAAAAAAGAAAAACCGAACAAACAATTTTTTTACATTTTCTCCATCTTACTTTTCTCTTTTTACGTTGGTTGATTTTAGAAACAACTTTAGAGAAAGACCAGCTTTTATACTATTTTAAATGAGTAAGCATTTGAATTGTTTTTTTTAAATGAAAAACCAATAAACTTTCTTATTTTGAATGATTAAATCCATGAACTATTTTTTTGAATAAAAAATCCATTAAACGTTTTCAATTTAGATGATTAAGTTTCTAAACAATTTTTCAATAAATTAAATCATCAAACTTTTAGAAATTTGTTACGCCCATTTTTTAACCCAAAAAAAGCTGCTTGTATTTGGTTATCTTTTGATTCTATACTTTTAGATAGATAAAAAGAACAGAGTAAAAAGAGGGAGATCAATGATAGGGGTCAAAAACGTGTTTGGAGATATGAAGTACGGATGACGTTGGGGCAACGAGGAGTGGCGAAGGGGAGCGATACAGTTGTTTGTGAGGAGTTTTAATGGGCGTAGTTTGGCCATGGTAAAACTGATTTAGATTCATTTTTACTTTAAAACATTCTTAGTCTGTTACAAGTAGTTTTTTTTAATTAAAAGATGTAGGTAACCAATTTTTAGAAGTTCGAAGGTTTATTTATTCAAAAAAATGTTTAGAGATTTAATCATTCAAAATAAAAAAATCATCATTTAGAATCAGAAAGGTAATTTTTATTTCATTCAAAAAAATAGTTCGTTGATTTAATCATTCAAATGAGATAGTTCGTTGGGTTTTTCTAAACATTTCCTTTTTTATATTTTTGACCGATTAAGTTTATGAATATTTTTTAAACAATAAAAGCATGCACTTACTGAAATCGAACAAAATGATCTTTTAGAGAAGTGATTGAAAACTAATTAGGTACTAAAAATCATTATTCGTGGAGGAAAAAAACCAGTGATATATTTTGAGCGTTTAAGTCATTGAATATTTGTTTTCATTAATAAATCCCCCGTATTTACTAAAAATGAACAAAATAGTCATTATAGGTTATTGTAGTAAAAATCCTTAATACATTGTTTTAAAAGTTAAAAGAAATAGGTTATTGTAGAAAAATGACCATTTTGTTCTATTGACCAGAAATAGTTTATTGTAGTAAAAATCCTTAATGAAAATTGTTATGTTTCAATAAGATATAATGATATATTTGTTCATTAAAGGTTCAACAATTTAATCACTGGATTCTTTATCGAACATTTTCGTTAATTTTATTAAAACTAGAAATGTATTATAATAAAAATATAAGTAAAGAGTCGATAGAACTATTTCCCGGTTTTTATGTGTAAGTTAAATTTTTTGGTTATTCTACAAAAAAAAAACAAGCTTCTTAGTTTTCTTTCCTTCAGTTATTGTTTGCAATGGGCATGCACTCTTTAAAAAACCAGAAAAAATACTCCACTTTCCACATTCGGCATCGGAAAAAAGACAAAAAGGATTGATGCATAATATATATATATATATATACACACACACACAAACGAAAATTCTAACTATTTAAGAGAATAAATCACGGGGTAAAATCATCGTGGGGTAAAGTCATGTGAATCACATGTGATTTTGTATATGATGTTAATGTAAAATCACATGTGATTCAAACGTTCTTTCGTTCTCTTAAATAGTCAATAGATATCATTATCATTTGAATGCGTGTCTCTCTCTCTATATATAAATATATATATATATATATATATATATATATAATATGTTGTCGAAATTGCAAATGTGGAGGAATAGACCTCTCCCACATTCACAAATAAAAAGGAATTTAAGTACTTTGATCCAACTACAAACATAGAATCTTCTCCTTCCTTTTTCATATTAATTTTACAGCTAATATATCCATTTTCTTTTCTTATTTCTTTAAATTTATATGCAATAAAAAACAGAATATTGTAATACGCGTTACTCGTTACGATGTTTCATGCTGTTTGTATTCAATCCGATAAATATGTCTTATTTTATGTGGAGTTTTTTTTCATATCCAACTTCGAAAATACAATTTAAATATATATATATATATATATATATCAAAATAAATCATTTAAAAGATCATCTGTCTATTTTCTAGGATATATTATTATAAAGGGTCATTTCATACATGTTATATTTATTTGAAATTTAATTTAAAAAAATAATTATTTTAAAGTAAAGAAAAAAAGACATTTTTTAGTGTAATCAACTCTGATTTTAATATTCTTTATTTAATAAAATTAACAGAAAAAAAAATTTGGTGGCCATTAATGAATGACTTCAGGTTCATGTCCCATAATGCATTAATAAATATAAAATTGATTGGAGTCCTTCAATATAATTATTATTGCTGGTTGGATTTTTTTTTATCAAATTCTTGCTTGACTACCAATCTATTTGAAAAATACAAACACAAAAAAAAAAAAAAAAAAAAAAACCTATAAATCCATTTTAATATTTAAAAAAATATAATGAATTTAATTCCCATTGTGGTCTAAATTCATTGCACCCAACTTATGCAGATGGGCAGTGGGAGTAGTACAGTACCAGTCATTTAATGCACAAACATGCATCTGCAATGAAAAGGGTTGGGTTTTTTGGTACATTGAGTCTTGGGTGCGAGTACGGCTTGTAATGAATTTTTATGGAAATTATATCGGGGGACCAATGCGATTGCAAGAAAAAGGGTTTCCAAGTTCTGTCAATTTTACCCCCTCAAGTTTATGCCTTGTCCTCTGTTGTCATTATTTTGATGGATTCATGTCACCAATGGTAAGACTAAACTGTTAAAAAAACTTCATTTTCATGGATAAAGGTACACGCTCTTTTACTTTGGTGGCACACATTATAAGTTGTACCATGTCCGTTTTATCATATTATATTCTATCTAGGTGTCTACAGATATGTCATATTCTAAAATCGACCTATCATTAACTATTAAAATGAATATTCTAATGTTATTTAAAAAAATCACATGAAATCGTTGTTTTCCATGTGTGATGACAAAAACAAAACAAAATTATGTTTTCTTTTTTCCTTTTATGTAGTCTAGATAAAATTTTATGAATGAGGATAACTAATTAAAAACATAAAATTGATATTATTTTTTGACCCATTAACTTATCTCTCTAATAGAAGATACTTGATTGTAATTCCATAATTAAATTCTTAAAATACACCATTTTCATGGACTATATATTTGTTTTTAAGATTAACGTCGATACTATTATTTGAGATGTGTTATAATTATTTTATTAGCAGATAATTAAAAATATATATAAATTTATATTGATCATATATTATTTAAGAAACTAATAATATATCATATGTTAGGTATATAAAAATGCTTTCCCCAAAATTTTAGTGAACCAACTTTGTAACTCATTGTCAATCACATGATTAAGCCATCAAGTTTAGGAATTGTTTCTTGTTGTAGACTACAATTAAGAGATAAGAAAAAAGTGGGAGTTGTGCATTCACAATGTAATTGCAATTAAAACCGAGTTAAATGGCAATCGTGTGAATTTGGTAACTCAACAAGCATCTTAATGTGTCAATCATATTGTGCAATTTTAATAGAATTATTATTGGCCATAATGTTGTAATATGCGTTGAAATTTTGTCTAAAAACGAAGAATCTATTATTTTATAGAATATATTTCATGTTTTTGTCTTATTCATCTCCAAATAATATTTCTTGTCGTATAAAAAACCCTGCTATATCTATAGAAAAAAGATCAAAACATTTAAAATCATGTATGTCTTCTTTATTTATCATAATGGTTTTTATATATATATGTATATATATATGTGTAAAAATATAAAATGACTTTGACCTATATATTTAATATTTAATAGATGTAAGTGATGATCAACTTATTTGGCATGCTTTCAAACAGGATGGCACAGAAAGCAATAATAAATCAGATACCAACACTCCTAATTGCATTATCAAATAGTTATCGGCATTAATAGTTCAGTTGTTATATGTGTAATTCTGGGAAGCTATTTGGGAATTTTATATTATATAATAGTATATGTATATAGTTTGGACAAAAAACATGGGCCCCACAGGTGATGTCGGCTTGTAGTCACAAGCCCCATATAAATCAATGAAGCAGGTACCGAGAACACATACAAAATCATCATAGAGAGGACCTCTCTCCCTCTCTGTTGTTTTCTGTGTGAATCTTTTTCCCTATTATACCCTCCTGTCTTTTGTGTGTTGTACTTTTACTAGCTGCTGCTTGTTATTGAAAACAACCGTCTTTTTTTCTCCATTGGAACTCGACTTTCTTGAGAGGTGAAGAAGAAACCAGAAAAAAAAAAGATCCTTTTTTTTTAATCAAACAAGAAATGTATGCTGAGACTGGCCTAATGTTCCCTTATTTTCAGAACTTCTCATCTGATGTTCAACAATTTGATGATTTCTGTCACTCACAGAAGCCCATTATTTGCTTGGTAATTCCCAATTTTGGTCTTTCTTTCCATCATCTTGAATGCTGTATTTGATTGGTGAATAGGTGCATCTATGAATTAGGGTTTTCTTTAAAGAATTGAAATGCATGTATTTTTTTTTTTTTTGACATTTTTATGGTGGTATAACTGTAGCAATTAAACCTCCATGGTTTCTTTCTTGATGAGCTTTAAGTTTTTCTTCCTGAGAAATTGAGAATGAACTGTTTCGTGAACAAATTTTAGTGATCTCCCAGAAAAAATTCAAAGATTTCAAGAAATGTTCAAGAATTTTATTGGCAATCAAACAGGGTTGTGTGTGTGAGTCATCATCTATTTAGGATTTTTGTTTGTTCTTTCCCATCTTTAAAAGGACAATGGGAATGGGTCATTCAATGTCCATTTTCAGTGTTGTTTTCCATTGTTCTTGAATAGAAGATACATATTCAGCTAGGTTTTTGTCCTCCCATCCCCCTATTTGTTCCACTTTTGTGAATATTGGATGTCAACTTGTATTAAAGATTCACCTTTTCACCGCACTCACAAGAGCTCAAATGAACAAAAAAAGGTAGGATAAATGGAAAAAAGCTAAAGCAAAGGTACCACTATGATCGTAATTTGATCCAATGGTTTTGTTTTGTGGAAATTCTAATTCGGGAAAAGGCAATTGACCCCCAAAAGTCGTTTTTGATCTTTCTTTCTTGTTCAAAGGGGATCGATTGTACTACAAGCCAACCCATATTCTTGAGTGTTCGAAAGGTTGAGCTCATACTGATATCTGTCCTAAGCCACTAAGCCCATCAAACTAATTTTGGTTGCCTTTTTGGGAAATTATTAAAATTAGTTATGCTGCACCACTTTGAGTTTGGGAAGATTGTTTACGGTGAAAAAGCCATTACATTGTTGCTAATGGATCAAGTGTGGTAGCTTAAACCATAAAATCGAACCATTATAATCGTAGAGGGTAGTTATGATCTCCAATTTTCTGTATGACTTTCAAGTTTTTGGTTTATATGATCAAATATTCTCACTATTCATTCATGTACTCATTTTTGTATTCGATAGTTAGTTTCTTGCTTGATTGTTGATGAGAATTCTGCTAGTGCTTGATTCTGAAAAAAAGAGGCAAATTCTTGTTGTTTCTAACGGATCTTCGTCTGGTATCTTCAGGATAGTCTGGTTCAGACCTCTACCATATCAGATTATGATCTTGGGGGTGAAGGAGATCTTTTCAAAGCACCAGAACCGATAATCGAACAACCATTCGTTAGCCTTGCTCCCATGACATCTGCTATGTCAATGATCTCTTGTGGAGAAGACCCCATTTCCATTTCCCCCCAGGAACTCAAGGTTACAGATATCGAATCGCTTCAGAACGAGGAATTACTGAATGATGTTTTCTATGAATGCAAAAATATCTTGGCAAAAGAAGTAGCAACTGGATCATCACCATTGTCTGAAGTTCTAAGCTTCAATTTCCCAGTTACAACAGATGAAAACCCCATTGCAAAGGAAAATGTTCATCCATTGTGTCAAATCCCAAAAAGCATGAGCTATGACAGTCTGAATTCAAGAGATTGGGTTAATGGGACTCAAATAAAGCCCAATTTTCTGGATTTCAGTGAACTAGATTTTGGGAATGCTTATGGTATGCGAAGGGCTTTCAGTGATGGAGACATAAAGGTCAAATTTAATTTACTTTTTGCATTGTGTATGCATATGACAATAGAGTTTGTATCGGTATATATCTTTCTAATTCAAAGCCGAACCCATTAGATCATAATAGAGAAAATCTATAAAAGAAATCATCCCATGGATGCAATAGAACTAAAAGAATCCGTCTTTTTCTTTCTATCTTGCTTTATTGAAGGGATGATAGGTTGTGTGATTGTATCCCGCTTTCAAGAATCAGCATAGAAGCATGAAAAATCCCCTAATCACCAAGCAGAAGACTAATTCATTATCATGAAGTAAGTTGCATATATGACAGAAGTTGAAAGAAACTTCATTCTATCATATGCCTGTTAAAGTGTGGCCACGTTCCTTTGCATGCATTCATATATGCATCTAAGAATCGAATCTTTACACGTGTGTGTGTGCTTAAGGAAGCAGGATAGATCAGGTTCATTGATACCAAGCGTTTTTCTATTTTATGACAGACCCTTGCTGATGCTAACCCAAGCCTCATTCATTATCCCCTTGGGCAGCCGCAGCTGATCAGTGAGCGCACCACTAAAGAACGCATGCAAAAGCTCTCAAGATACAGGAATAAGAAAACAAAGAGGAATTTTGGCAGAAAAATCAAGGTAATTGTGTATCAAAATAGTCTTTTTCCATAAAATGAATGTGCAGATGACTTGGGTTTTTCTGTTCATCTCACTGTTAATATGTGCTAGTCTGATATCATCATTTAAAGTCTTGTTGCATGCTCTTTAGAGCGTTTGACATGATTATTTCTAGAATAGTTGGTATTTGTATGATGATGAATCACACTCGAGTAGTTACTTAACATGGTTTTGGTGGCGGTAGATAATAATAGGAGGCTCCTTACCAATTGAAATGATAAGGAGCAGAGAGATTTTCACTCCTCTTCACAGAAGTAAGCTTATAAGTGCCATTTTTATGGTACCAGCTCCAGAATTATTTCTTACAAAATTTGATTGATTCAAACCTCAAGGTTACTAGGGTAGGACTGGACTCATTGGGCTAAAGATCTCTCTGTTAGTTGCTGCTCACATGAAGCTCAGGTCCAGAGAAGTTCACAAGTGCCAGTCCTAGGCCTGGAAGCCTGATCGGAGTCTGGAACTGAATAAAACAAACCAGGCCTGCATTCATCCTGGTTCGAACGGTAAAAAAGGACAGGTCCAAATCAGTCTTGACACTCAAAAGCGAACGTTTTTCATTCATACCTTGCATGTAATATGCTCTATGATATCATAAGTTGTAACTTATTAATGTAATTTAAAATGTATGCTACTTTTCTACACCCAGAGTCCCAGACCATGAAATTTTCCTTTCTTGATTGCCCACCTAGGCCTGGTTTGACCAAAAGCCCACCCAGGCCTGGTTTGGCCAAAAGCCCAGCTAGGCATTGTTAGACCAGCAGGTCTTTTGACTAGCTATTTAGGAATGTATGTTTTGGTGTGAATAAGCTTATTATTGTTATTAATGTTTTGTGGTGTTCAGTATGCTTGCAGGAAGGCTTTGGCAGACAGTCAGCCAAGGATCAGAGGAAGGTTTGCCAAGACTGATGAATCTGACATGTTGAGAAAGTAATATGTAGAAGAAATCATAGAAATCTAGACCTGATGAAGCAGATAGAAGAAAATATGAATGGTAGCTTACAATTTGGCAGAGGCCCACCCCCGCCGTAGGTCAAAGTCAAAGCAAGCAGGTTTTGCTAAATAAGGTAGGAGGCCCGATATATATATATAAGCAGCAAAACCTTTTATGATCTGTTAGTAAATGTAATAATAATCTTTCTTTCATAAACCCCCAAATCTTGAACTTGTGTTGTATATAAAGTATGTTGTTGAATAACGATCACTACTTGTGTTATATACTGTGTTTTCGGAGCAAATTAAAGATGATGATCCGGTCGGTCCTACTCCTATGTGCTGGGGAGTCTCGGAGTAGGGTCTTGAATGCTTGTTCCGGTTTTCTGTTTATAAAAAGGTCAAGCATTCTTGTTCATAAAACTTGAATCTTGACAGTGTTTTGGTTGATAAAAGCTATTGTTTTGCAGCATTTGGTAGATGAGAAGTGAATGATGAAGGTATTTTGGTGCTAAAACCTGAATCTTGGAAATCCATGGAATCAATCAAAATTGATGTTAAAAAGAATAAGAAATGAAGTAGGACATATGCCTTGTACAAGACCAGGCCTCATGTAGGTCTATTCTTTTCTTGCCAATGGAGTCCATCTCAGTTTCCCTTCCATAACTTATTTATGGGGTTTTGTTTATATCTCAGTCGGTATCACTTATTATTCATATCCCTCCTTATTTACCGCACATATCACTTGGGTTGGGTTGGGTATGAATAGAATTGACCTTAGTTTATCATCTATTCATAGGTTTAATGATAATTGTTATCGTCATTTGAGATAGTTAATATAGCTAAAAAGAAGTAGAGACATAAACTCAACAAATATTATGTAAAATTTTACACATTATTAATATATGATAGACTAGTATATTATACATAGATGTAATAGAAATTTATTGAAGTTATATATATATATATATATATATATGTGTGTGTGTGTATGTGTATTAGTGGCGGGTTGGTTGGATTGATCTAGGCTAATCCAATTTCAACTCTCTTAATTGGCAGTTTAGCGGTCCGGCGGGTTGGCGGTTTAGTGGGATGGGTTTGATTGAGTTGTTAGCGGGCTAGGTTGGGTGGGTTATAAGCGGTTTGATGGTTTTCTATACACCCCTATTACATTCAACTCTCATAGTTGTCAAATTTGTTGTTTTTAGCTTAAATTTTGGTTTAGCGGGCTGGGTTTAATCGGGTTGTTAGCGGGTTAGGTTGGGCGGGTTAAGCGGTTTGACGATTTTTCTGTACACCCCTATTAGGTTCAAATCTTGTAGTTGTCAAATTTTGTTGTTTTTTAACTTAAATTTTGGTGTTTTTTTTAGAAACCTCTTGTGTTTTTGAAAAGAAAAATCAATTAAAATAGTCATTTTTAGATGTTGATTTCTTCTCTTAGCCATTTCTCTCATAGAATCACCAAAATGTCATTAGGTTCGCAATTTGCGGAGGTATTAAAATGTAAAAGAAAAGAAGTCTTTGAACCAGATCCGCAAGTGCAGGGATCAAAATTCGTCCCAACAACTGCAAGTGGCGGAAGTGCCACTTTTGGACCTATGTCAATTTTATAGATTTGGTCCCTCTACTTGCGGACCTAATTTCTTTTTTTACACTTTGACCCATCTATAAATTGCATACTTGTTACTTACGGACCTAGTGACATTTTGGTGATTTTAGGAGAGAAATGACTAAGAGATGAAACCACAAACCGAAAATCTATTTTAATTAATTTCCCTTCTGAAAATATATGTAAACCAGACTCGAACATGATTCTCTTCTATGTAATGACAAAGAACCAATCAACAGATTTATACTAATATTGTGAAAAGAAAATTAAATATTTTTTATAATCAAATTATACAACCACTTCAAAAAATTTATTGGGAAGTATGCGATGGGCTATGTTCTTCTTGTACTTTATCAATAGTGGCATTTGTTGATTGCCTATTTTGTCCCCATGGAATTGATATGTTTGCATGTCAAGTGCAAGAAGCTTGGCCTCTCAAAGAACGACCTGAAGAAGCTTCTGTCCATTGTAGATGCTAGTTCGTCTGTCAGGTTGGTAAGAATTACATGGTGTACACATACATCAACGTTTACCTATGTTTATCGCATTCATTCCATGATATCTTTTACAGTCAAATGATGCCATAATCTCAATAAATATTCTTTCCTTGTTTTTAACATATATTTTGAATGTTTGTTAGACCATAAACGAATTTATAAAATGAAATCCAAAAAGATATTACAACGTTTTATTTTGATAATGTTGTTTTAACATATTTTTTGGTGAATTAATCAATTACCCAAAATTTAAGATATCTGTAATTCTGATGGTATTGTTTTAACAAACTTTTTATGCACATGTCTATTTGATTTTGTTATTGACCTTTTCTTTTAATTACATAATTCATTAAATTATTAGTTGTGTACCCGCACAATGCGGCGGAAACCATGAATTTTAACGATTTTGAAGTTCCAATGGTTTTATAAGATAAGATATAACGATGATATATGTTACACTTGGTTTTTACATATTAATACAATTTGAATAAATAAGAGTTATGGTTCCAATTACAGACTATCGATGAAAAAAATTGTATGATAGTTTAAAATCCAATATATTTAAAATCCAACATATTTAAATGACTCCACAAAATATATAGTATATATATATATATACAGTGCAATTTAGACAGCCTAACCCCAAAATATATAGTATATATATAAATAAATAACTATAAAAATATAAATCGTAAATATTAAAAATATTTTTTCACAGTATATATAATATATAATAATATAATTAAGTCAAAAACTATTCAATATTGGACTTATTTCGAAGATATTAACGAGACGATTATAACGGTGTAACTTGTTAAAATAAAAATGTATTTTTTAAACATGTTTTAATTGATATACGATTATGTATATTAATTTGATAAATGTTTAAAATGAAACATTTAAAAGTAAATGACGTAAAGTAAATTAATTAACTAATTATAAGAGTATAAAGTGTAAATTTAAAATTATAATTTAAAAAAAAATCGGTTGTGAGAGGGTGAGTATATGTGAGGGGGTGAGTGTATGTGAGAAGAGGAGAGGGTGAAAAAATGAAAAAGTGATACAAAAGGTATCTTGGTCATTTAATATTTTAAGACTTTAAAACTTTTATTAAATTTGTTTTATAAGATAGTATAGAAATAAATATCTATTAAGCTTAATTATTACAATAACTTAGTATTTTTACTGTTCACTGTTAACAAGTCAATCAGACCTTTAAATAAACAAAAAATTTGATAGAGAATTAGAGACCCCTAAATGAAGATTTTAAAGTTGGATTCCAAAATAGAAATAAAATGAAAGTTGATTCTATTTTAATGTAATTTTCTCTTAATCAAATGACATTTATGTAATTTTAAAGTGGACAGAAAAAATAAATAAAAATGTAGAGAAAACGAATACGATGTAACTAAAAGTAAATAAATAAACCTTGCTCTTTAAAATAAAAACGGTCATGGGAGAATAAATGGTATTGTTTGAGGACGTGTTAGAAACAACTATGACTATGGCTATGGCTACGGCATCCCAACAGACTCAAACAAAACTCTATCTACAGTCTACATATGCATACACATTTCTGTGTGCATCTCTCCCTGTTCTATCGCTTATTTCGTTTCTTCCTTGTTTTATTCCTCATCTGTTGCAAGTCTCTCAAAATCCTATCGCTTCTCTAACTAACTCTTCACGTAGAAAAGCATTCTTGTTCTTGATCATTTTTTTATTTGATTCTAAATATGCTTGGAGTTTTTTTGAAGAATTAGATTTGATGAAAGAACACACAACCTTGTTTTGACAATCTCTGAATGGAACGATCAGAAATTTGAGGTTCTTTTGTTTTTGTTTTTGTTTTATTTACCATGTCAGTGATTCCAAATCTTGTTATTCAAACACGATCGTACCCTGCCTTGATAAACTCCTTTGGTGAACATAATTTGAATGTGTCAAGCCATGATGGTGTTGGCCGGAACTGGATTCGCGGTTCTGTCGTTAAACAATCCAGTTTATTGAAGAAGAAATTTTATGGGGCTAGGCTTTCAGAAACATTCCGTCAACGGCATTTTGAAGCACCGCGGTGTCATCCGAAGCTTGGAATTGTTCGGTCGTCGTTGTCGCAGGTGCCAGAGAAACCGCTTGGCCTCTATGATCCTTCTTTTGATAAAGATTCGTGTGGGGTTGGTTTTGTTGCTGAATTATCAGGTGAAAGTTATCGGAAAACGGTATACAGTCACTCTTAATCCTACATATATTCATGATATGTCCTTCACTAGTATGATTACTAACCAAATTGATTTTTGAGATCTGATAAGGTGACCGATGCAATTGAGATGTTGGTCCGTATGTCACACCGAGGTGCTTGTGGATGCGAAACAAACACAGGTGATGGTGCCGGAATTCTGGTTGGGCTTCCCCACGAATTCTTTGAGGAGGTATATGTATATGTTTGTCTACATACACACGTGATACATATATGTCTGTATATATAGTATGTATAATGTATATATTAGTAGCCGTAAGTTTCATTTGAAGGTAATTGTAGTTTTATTTAGTATATCTAATTTCGGTACTGCTGGCTGGATTAATCTATTCATTTGTTTATTATATATTCGTGTACAGTTAGGCGTGCCATTTTTGTGTAGACGTTAGGAATCAAAATTTGAGCAAATCTGTTTGTTTACTTTTTAACTTGTATATTTTATTGGAAACCAGAACCTTTAGTTATGCACCTCACAAAAAAGGAAAATGGTGGTCAATTGTAGTCGCGACTCGTTAATATGTGTATCTAGTGCTCATCTGTTCTGTTTCAGGTTGCCAAGGATGTCGGGTTTCAGCTACCCCCACCTGGGAAATATGCGGTGGGAATGTTCTTCTTGCCTACTTCTGATAACCGGAGGGAGCAAAGCAAAAATGTATTTACAAAGGTAGCTTTTGCATTATGAAACATAACAAAGTCCATGTTGGTTCACCGAACCGTATAGAATATAATGCTGGATGGATATTAAAATCGGCTTTGTTTTAATACATGTATACAAGATTTGTTTCTGAATGCTTGACAAGTACAAATTTGCAGGTTGCTGAGTCACTTGGGCACACTGTTCTTGGGTGGCGCTCTGTTCCAACAGACAATTCTGGTTTGGGTAAATCTGCTCTACAGACAGAACCCGTCATTGAACAAGTGTTTCTTGCACCCAGTTCCCGATCAAAGGCTGATTTTGAAAAGCAGGTAGCCTATTTCTTCTCTAGCTTAAGAATGCATTTCCAAGTTTATATTGAATAGAACTTTGTCTAGCTTAGTTCATAATTGTAGTCTCGTATCCTTGATTGCAAATTGCAACATATTCTTCTTGCAATATTATCCTTACTTTTGAACATCTTCGATTTGAAATGATGCATGCCTATCTTGTTCATCATGTGCTGTGTGCAGATGTATATTCTAAGGAGGGTCTCAATGGTAGCTATCCGAGCTGCATTGAACCTTCAACATGGTGGTGCTAGGGACTTCTATATATGTTCTTTGTCATCTAGGTTTGCTCCTGGTTGATTGTGATATATACTTATGTATGACCCTACATTTGGCATTGCTTATTTAATCTTATAAATCTTTTGTTTGCAGAACTGTTGTCTATAAAGGTCAGTTAAAACCCACTCAGTTGATGGAATATTATTATACAGATCTTGGCAATGAAAGGTTTACGAGCTACATGGCCCTGGTAAATACTAGTTCCATACACTCTACTTTGCTCACTGACATCACACTTAAACAACAGCAAATTGGAACAGTCTGTTAAAGGGAGAGAGAAGCATATATGAATTTGACGGGATGCTGTACTGGTGAGTTGGCGATCACCTCATTACATAGAACATTATGTTTTCAGTTCTTGCGGATGAAGCTTTCATTCAGGCGTGTGGAAGAAGAAGCTATGTTTGGTACAGGCATGGTGGTGCAATGACATTCAAGTGTCCAAAACATGATATCATTATAACATAAACCCTAATTTCGATGCTTGAAAATATCATAAATGAAACTGAGTGAAGATATTGTGTTATTTGATTTTGGTGCAGATACATTCTCGTTTTTCAACCAATACATTTCCCAGCTGGGATCGTGCCCAGCCTATGCGTGTCCTTGGCCATAATGGGGAAATTAACACACTTAGAGGAAATGTCAATTGGTAAGTCCTCCGGAAACATGTAGGAAAACACCTAACAACTAATACCTATAGATTTAATGGCATTATGTGGTCCAAACCAGGAATTTGGCATTTAAGACACCGAAATTTTTGCATGTTCTATGTTCTTCAATGTAAATGACTTGTAATTGTAACAGGAAGACGGGAAGATGATATGTAAAAAAAAAATGATATGTATTAGTGCCACCAAATGTACCAAAAAGTAAAATTATATTGCTGACTTATAAACAACATGGTTACAATCAGTACCTTGTGACATCTAAGTTTGTACTTTATAATAGTGGCATTTATGATTATTTATTTTGTCTCCATGGAATTTATGTGTTTTCATGTCTCCTTTGTTTAGGATGAAGGCACGCGAGGGCCTTTTGAAGTGCAAAAAGCTTGGCCTATCAAAGAAAGAGCTGAAGAAGCTTCTACCAATTGTAGATGCTAGTTCGTCCGACTCAGGTTGGTAAGGATCACATGTTGTATGAATACATCATCGTTTGCCTATTTTTATAGTTTTCATTCCATGATATCCCTTACAGGTAACAATTAAGTTGAAGAGACCCCATGTTTCATTGCTAGATACTGGAGCGTTTTTCTTTTTACAAAGTGATTGCTTTTCATACATTTCTATTATTTGAATCAGTGTGGCACTCATAAAATGAATTTCTTTCTTGTTCAGGCGCTTTTGATGGCGTCCTTGAACTTTTAGTACGAGCTGGTCGAAGTCTTCCTGAGGCTGTTATGATGATGATCCCTGAAGCCTGGCAGAATGACAATAATATGGACCCTTGTAGGAAGGATTTATATGAATATTTCTCAGCTTTGATGGAGCCATGGGATGGGCCTGCTCTAATTTCATGTATGAGTTCAAGTTGAATTTCATTTTACACTCTGCTAATCATTTGAAACATTTGATTTGCGCTTACCTAGAAGGTAATGTGTAGTTACTGATGGTCGATATCTTGGAGCTACACTAGACAGAAATGGACTTCGTCCAGGTCGGTTCTATATTACTCACAGTGGCCGAGTTGTAATGGCAAGCGAAGTCGGAGTTGTTGATGTTCCACCTGAAGATGTCTCTAGGAAAGGTAGACTTAACCCGGGGATGATGCTACTTGTTGACTTTGAGAAGCATGTTGTAGTAGATGATGAAGCCTTGAAACAACAGTATTCAGTAGCAAGACCTTACGGAAAGTGGCTTGATAGGCAAAAGATAGAACTTAAAAGCATCGTTGAATCTGTTAATAAATGTGACAGGGTTTGTCCACCAATCGCAGGAGTGTTAAAAGTAAGTATCTTTTTATTGTCTTTGTTAATTTAATCTCTTGTCTTTCTTGTTCAACATTTGCTACTAACTTCCTAAGCTTTATTTTAGGCATCTACCGAGGATGACAACATGGAGAACATGGGTATTCATGGTCTGTTGGCTCCTTTGAAGGCTTTTGGGTATGGATCTTTTGTGGGTATATTTTGTACTCTTTCTTGCTTGAAGTTTTTAATGGTTGTGTATTGAAATGATGCCCTAATTATGTAGTTACACCGTTGAATCCTTGGAGATGCTTTTACTACCATTGGCAAAAGATGGTGTTGAAGCCCTTGGTTCAATGGGAAATGATGTTCCCTTGGCTGTGATGTCCAACAGAGAAAAACTAACATTTGAATATTTCAAGCAAATGTTTGCACAAGTTACAAACCCGCCTATTGATCCTATCCGAGAAAAGATAGTCACTTCCATGGAATGCATGATTGGACCAGAAGGTGATCTTACTGAAACATCAGAAGAGCAATGCCATCGACTTTCTCTTAAAGGTCCACTCTTATCCATCGAAGAGATGGAATCAATTAAGAGAATGAACTATAGAGGCTGGCGCAGCAAAGTTCTTGATATGACTTATGGTAAAGAACGTGGCAAACAGGGTTTGGAGGAGACCCTAGATAGAATTTGTTCTGAGGCACATGATGCTATCAAGGAGGGTTATACAACTCTGGTGCTTTCTGATAGAGGTAATCCATTTGAAACTAATAGTATCATATTTCAGGCTGTTTTGGAAGTATCAGAGGCTTATATAAGATCAATTTCACCTTATTTATGTCTAAATTATGCAGCTTTTTCATCGAAGCGTGTGGCAGTAAGCTCCCTCTTGGCTGTGGGTGCCGTCCACCACCATCTAGTCAAGAAGCTTGAGCGCACTCGAGTGGCTTTGATTGTAGAATCTGCCGAGCCGCAAGTAGTACATCATTTTTGTACCCTGGTTGGGTTTGGTGTTGATGCTATTTGTCCATATTTGGCGGTGGAAGCAATTTGGAGGATGCAGGTTGATGGTAAAATCCCACCAAAAGTAAGTGGCGAGTTCCACTCGAAGGACGAGTTAGTCAAGAAGTATTTTAAAGGAAGTGAATATGGCATGATGAAGGTTCTTGCAAAGATGGGAATATCTACTTTAGCCTCATACAAGGGTGCTCAGATTTTTGAGGCAGTTGGTTTATCGTCACAAGTGATAGAGAGATGCTTTGCTGGAACACCAAGCAGAGTAGAAGGTGCAACATTTGAAGCGCTTGCCCATGATGCTCTTCAATTACATGACTTGGCGTTTCCGGCAGGGGGGTTTCCTCCAAAGAGTGCCGAAGCAGTAGCTTTGCCAAATCCTGGTGATTATCACTGGAGAAAAGGTGGTGAAGTTCATTTAAATGACCCCCTTGCGATAGCAAAGCTGCAGGAGGCAGCTAGAGGTAACAATGTTTCTTCCTATAAGGAGTATGCCAACCGCATAAATGAATTAAACAAAAACTGCAACTTGCGTGGGCTGTTAAAGTTTAAAGAGGCAAGTATGAAGGTGCCATTGGAAGAGGTTGAACCAGCCAATGAAATTGTGAAAAGGTTCTCTACTGGAGCAATGAGCTATGGTTCTATATCATTGGAAGCACACACCACCCTCGCCATCGCCATGAACAAAATCAAAGGGAAATCCAATACAGGTGTGTCCCGGGATTGACTTCTCTCAGGCTGTTCTTTTCTTTCAATTTATTTGTGTAATAAACAATGTTCGACATAAGTGGTCATGGGCTTCTAATATATTCTCAGTTAAATTACTGTAGTACTACTTTCAGAGTCGCATAAGCCACTGCATATCGTTCGTATGCATGCATGCTTTTCACTCTCCACCATCTTTATGTTATATATTTGTGAGTTGTTTATCTGTTATGGTTTATGACTTTGTTGAGGCTACATATTCTATAGGTGAAGGAGGTGAAAGTCCTTCTCGTTTGGAACCTCTTTCAGATGGCTCAATGAACCCTAGACGAAGTGCTATTAAACAGGTTGCTAGTGGAAGATTTGGAGTTTCTAGTTATTATCTTTCGAATGCTGATGAGCTGCAGATAAAGATGGCTCAGGTATATGTGTGTGTGTGTGTATATATCATATTCTAAACTGAAAGCCTTTTCATGACTTCATCAGTTCATGGAATATTGTTAGCCCCCATATTCCTGTTGAAACAGACGCTCTTTAATGTTCATGGACAGATGATGCCGAGTCTGCAAAGCACCTCTAGGTGCCTTTGCTTTTAGTGATATCTGCATTTGGCATTTGGTGAGGTTAAGTATATGATATAACTAAGGTTATTTTTTGCATGCAGAGTAAACATATTACTTAGGGGCTGTTTGGTTGATTTTTCATTAAGTCCTATATGGATAAAGTGGTCTGCGTGTTTTAATTTGTGTGTATGGATTGGGAAAGACTTTTGTTTGGAAGAGTTTTTTCATAGATGGAAGGTGCATGTTTTTTAATTGGGAGGAGCTTGTTTGGAAAAAAAAAACTTGGTTTTCTGCATAAAACTCCCTCTTAAAAGCTTACTGATTAAGTCATTTTTTATATTATTAAGCCGCTACCAAACAACAATATATAGTTGACCGAATAAGCTTTGAGTCCCATTAAGCTCATTAAGCTGCTAACAAACAGGCCCTTACTCTTGATTGCATCGTCACAGGGAGCAAAGCCTGGTGAAGGTGGTGAACTTCCTGGGCACAAGGTTATAGGAGACATTGCTGTTACTAGGAATTCCACGGCTGGGGTCGGATTAATTAGTCCTCCTCCGCATCATGACATATATTCAATCGAAGATCTTGCTCAACTGATTCATGATCTAAAGGTAAATGATCTGGTGTATTGTTCTTGGTGAGTTCTGAGCCAAAAAAAACCCTTAAGCGTAAATAGTCAAATGTACTTTTATCACAACACGCAAGTTTCTTGTTTTCTTGTTGAAACCTTTTCCTGTCCATGTAGAATGCAAATCCTTCCGCTCGAGTAAGTGTGAAGCTAGTTTCTGAAGCTGGGGTTGGAGTAATTGCAAGTGGAGTTGTCAAGGGCCATGCGGAACATGTCTTGATTTCTGGTCATGATGGCGGTACTGGTGCTTCAAGGTGGACTGGCATCAAAAGTGCAGGGCTTCCATGGGAACTTGGACTTGCAGAGACCCACCAAACACTAGTTGCAAACGGCCTTCGTGGTAGAACCACTCTCATGACAGATGGTCAGCTAAAAACCGGACGAGATATAGCCATCGCTGCTCTCCTTGGTGCAGAGGAGTTTGGTTTCAGCACAGCACCCCTTATCACACTCGGATGCATCATGATGAGGAAATGCCACAAAAACACTTGTCCTGTGGGAATTGCTACTCAGGATCCAGTCCTTCGTGAAAAGTTTGCCGGAGAACCTGAGCATGTCATCAATTTCTTCTTCATGGTAGCAGAGGAGATGAGGGAAATCATGTCTGAGATAGGGTTTCGAACAATAAATGAAATGGTGGGACGTTCGGATATGCTTGAAGTTGATGAAGATCTGATAAAGAACAACGAGAAACTTAAGAACATTGACCTGTCTCTATTACTTCAACCAGCTGCTGACATCCGACCAGATGCTGCCCAGATTTGTGTACAAAAACAAGATCATGGTTTAGATATGGCTATGGATCAGCGGTTAATAGAACTCGCAAAACCTGCTCTAGAAAAGGGTATTCTTGTGTACATTGAAACACCAATATGCAATGTTAATCGCTCAGTAGGAACAAATCTCAGTCATGAAGTAACTAAGCGATATCGACAGGCTGGCCTTCCTGACAATACCATCCACGTCAAACTTAATGGAAGTGCTGGGCAGAGTATTGGAGCCTTCCTTTGCCCTGGTATCACACTTGAGCTTGAAGGTGACAGTAATGACTATGTTGGGAAAGGCTTGTCAGGTGGGAAAATAATCGTTTACCCTCCTAAAGGAAGTCGATTTGACCCTAAAGAGAATATTGTGATTGGAAATGTGGCTCTGTATGGGGCAATCAATGGGGAAGCCTACTTTAATGGGATGGCAGCGGAAAGATTCTGTGTTCGTAATTCAGGGGCTAAAGCAGTTGTGGAAGGTGTTGGTGATCATGGATGTGAATACATGACAGGAGGAATTGTTGTTGTTTTGGGGAAAACGGGGAGGAATTTTGCTGCTGGCATGAGTGGGGGAATTGCATATGTTCTTGACGTGGATTCAAAGTTCCGCTCAAAATGTAACTCTGAGTTGGTTGATCTTGATAAAGTTGAAGAAGAAGAAGAGGATGTTTTAACTCTCCGAATGATGATACAACAACACCAACGACACACGAACAGCCAACTAGCAAAGGAAGTCCTTGCTGACTTTGACAAACTCTTGCCAAAATTCATAAAGGTCTTCCCAAGGGACTATAAACAGGTTCTGGCTAGCATGAAAGAAAAACAAATTGCCAAAAGATCTGCAAAAATGACTGCTGAAGAAGCAGAAGTTCGAGAGGAAGATGAGTTGAAGGAGAAAGACGCTTTTGAAGAACTCAAGAAGTCAGCAGCCAAGTTGGTGAGTGAGGCAGTTAATAAGGTGAAGTTTCTTAACATATTTTAGTACTTGAGCATATTTTATTCCTTATACATATTTTAGTACTTGAGCATAAGCTTCTTGCACAAAATGTTTTGGAATAATAATGGTGTAAGCAATTGGTTAATAAGAGACTCCAATAGATTATAGACAATAAAGGGATCTAATTATTTATGGGATTCCAGGTTCAAAAGATCAAAACGGCTGAAAAGGTTAAAAAAGTTGAAAAGGCTGAACCACCTGTTAGACCATCTCGGGTTCCCGATGCTGTCAAAAACCGTGGTTTTGTTGCTTATGAGCGTGAAGGAATATCATTCAGGGATCCTACTTTCCGGATGAATGATTGGAAGGAAGTTATGGAAGAGATAAAACCTGGGCCACTCTTGAAGACTCAGTCTGCACGGTGTATGGATTGTGGTACTCCTTTCTGCCATCAGGTAATAAAGCCTTCCTTCTTTGTACAGATCATAATGCAAATTCTATCGGGGCTCACATTATATATGCTTTGTAAAAACAATTGCAGGAGAATTCTGGATGTCCTCTTGGAAATAAGATTCCTGAATTCAACGAGTTAGTTTTTCAGAATAGATGGCGTGAGGCTTTAGATCGACTTCTAGAGACTAATAACTTCCCCGAGTTCACTGGTCGAGTGTGCCCTGCACCATGTGAAGGTTCATGTGTTCTTGGTATTATTGAAAACCCTGTATCCATTAAAAGCATCGAGTGCTCTATCATAGACAAAGCTTTTGATGAAGGTTGGATGGTGCCTAGACCTCCCCTCAAGCGAACTGGGTATGCTTCATAACTTTCCTTAGCTTAATCTTTTCCATCTTGTAAAGTTTTACAATTCCACCCTTTTCACTTCTCCTCACAAGGGTGGTGCCAGCCTTGTTTACTTTAACTATGAATAGAAAAGGATGTTCACCATGTCAACTCCTGAACTATTAAGTTGATTGGAATTTCTAATAAGTTCCTTTCTGGGGCAGGAAAAAAGTCGCTATTGTTGGGAGTGGTCCGGCTGGTTTGGCTGCGGCTGATCAGTTAAATAGAGTAGGCCATTCAGTGACTGTGTTTGAGCGCGCTGATCGAATTGGTGGGCTCATGATGTATGGAGTCCCTAATATGAAGACAGACAAAATTGATGTTGTTCAAAGGCGGGTTGACCTTATGGCCAAGGAAGGTGTGAATTTTGTGGTTAATGCCAATGTTGGAAATGATCCAGTATACTCCATTGAAAAACTCCATAAAGACAATGATGCTCTTATTTTGGCGGTTGGCTCCACAAAGCCAAGGTGCAGTTTATCGTAGAGTTCTGGATGTTGGCTTATTATATTCTTTATGAATTATGAAAATTTGATCACTTGACAGGTTCTCCCTCCCTTGGTGCCATCCACACCCAAAAAATGTAAAAAATGGTTGATGGTACCCTAGGGTCAGGTTCAGGGAGAAACCGCAAAAAAATGAAAATCTGGTAATCGTTCATCTGAATGGTATGCACATGTGCATACAAGTAATTTGTAAGCAATTTGGCCGATATGCATGTGTGCATAACTGCACACGTGCTTAAAAACCAAGAAACAACTTCAATTACTTGTATGTAAATGTGCATACCGTCCAAATGTACACTAAACCAATAAGTTGTGGCTTGATTATTCCATTACTGTTCATTCGGCTGAAGTAACTTAAGGACTTTGATGTGTTGGATGTATAGTAAAAACTACTTGAAATGTATTTTGACAGGGATCTTCCTGTTCCTGGACGAGAGCTATCAGGAATACATTTTGCAATGGAATTTCTTCATGCCAATACGAAAAGTTTACTGGATAGCAATCTTCAGGATGGTAAAAATATCTCTGCTAAGGGTAAGAAGGTCGTAGTAATTGGTGGAGGTGATACTGGTACAGATTGTATAGGGACTTCAATTCGACATGGCTGCAGTAGCATTGTAAATCTTGAGCTTCTTCCTAAGCCACCCAAAACGAGGGCTCCAGGCAACCCTTGGCCTCAGGTTTGTCTTTTTCGTCTACATGTTTTAGTAGATGCTGTGGTAACTCAAATTTTTTTTTGTGGTAGCTATACTATTAAGCAGGCTTATACCTGAAATTCTAAATTGTGGAGTTGTGTTGCAAGTCGGTATCAATCAGTACGAATATCATTTTGATCGTTTGACACCAATAGCTAGAAGTTGTTACTAGTGCTAAGGGAGGCTCTCAATGACAAATACAAATAAAGATTTTCACATACAAAAGATATATTTAGCAATAAGGATTTTTGTTTTCTTATGCAGTGGCCTCGTATATTGCGTGTGGATTATGGACACCAAGAAGCTGCTGCAAAATTTGGCAAAGATCCAAGATTGTATGAGGTATTAACTAAAAGGTTTATTGGTGATGAGAATGGGGTTGTGAAAGGAGTAGAGGTGGTCCGTGTTCACTGGGAAAAGGATGATAATGGAAGATTTCAGTTCAAAGAGGTTGAGGGTTCTCAAGAAATCATTCAGGCTGACTTAGTTTTGCTAGCCATGGGCTTCCTTGGTCCTGAAACGGTTAGTATTTCTCATATTAGGGTCAGGTTTAAGGGAAAACCGTAAAAAAATGAAAAATTGATTACCAAGGTGTTCCTCAGTTTTTCATTTTTTTAGGGATTTTCCCTTGAACCTCCCTCTCATGTTAATATCATAATGTACCAATGCTATCAATTTATTTAAGATCTATATTAATACCGTCAAGAAAGAAGGGCATTTGGAGGAAACTGGAAACGGAATTTTGTTCTATAAAGAGAATAGAGTCATATATGTTAACATTTATATTGCCATTTGTGACAGACAATAGCTGACAAATTGGGTTTGGAGAAAGACAATAGATCAAATGTGAAGGCTGAATATGGCAAATTCTCAACCAATGTACAAGGGGTTTTTGCAGCAGGAGATTGCCGTCGGGGCCAGTCTCTTGTGGTGTGGGCCATTTCTGAAGGCAGGCAAGCAGCTGCTCAGGTTGATAAGTTCCTTATGGTGGAGGAAAAAGACATGGAAACCCGTTTGCTAGATCAGCAAGATAGTTCCAACAAAACGGTTAGAAATTAGACAGATAAATCTTTTTGGTAATTTGATTAATCTATATTGTTATCATAGCTTAAGATATTAGTGAGTAGTGAGTGTTTTTCTGGATAGGGAGCCCATTAGTACTATTTTCTTTCTATTGGTTTTCTGAATTTAGGCTCTCATACAGGCTTTAAAGCAATAAATATATAGATTAAGTTTTCAACTTTTCTTGTTCTTGATGAAAATTTTGATCCTTTTTTATATCCTTGGAGGGGTATGCCAAAAATACAAGTTCTGGCGAAGCCTTTAAGATTTTTGACCAATTTGAGGAGACACTACAACAAATTTGATTTTACAGGATGTCTAAATTGTAGAAATGTCCTAAAAAAAAACTTTATAGGATTTGAGTTTATAGGATCAAACCAAAAAGTGTCATATATAAAAATGTTACAATAGGTTTATAAGATGTTTTTAGGCGTTTTAACAAGTGTTTATGACGCTCTCAAAATGAAGTATCGTATCAACTATTTTATATGATACTATTTGAAAAAGTGTCCTCTAAAAAGATGAGTTTACAGGATATTTCTCAAAAGTTCCTATAAATTAGCTTAATATGACACTTTTTTTTAAAGCATCCTCAAAACTTGTTAAACACTTAAATATGCTCTTTAAACCTATTATAAGACCATCCACATCCCTGCAATTCATTTACTCTTTCAATTGTGCCACATCAGCTTTTGCAATTATCTTCCACACACCTGCAATTCACCTATAACACTTTCAACTGTGCCACGTCACCTACACTTTCAAAAATGGTCCCCACTACAATATTTATTAACTATTTTATAAATTATTTATATATACATTCTAATTATTTTTTAATTAATAACATGTTTTATTTTAATTCAATGTTAATTAAAACGATTAATATATGATATAATATGATATAATTTTATATATTAGATTATAATTTTATGTAATTATAAAATTTAATGTTTAAAATAATTTAATTTATTATATAATTAATATAATTAAAAATATATTAACATTATTAATTTATAAAATTAATTGTTTTGTATAAAAATAATTTATTTAAATAATTAAAACAAAAAAAATAAAATTGGAAGGAAGTGGATGGCCCACGTGGCTTGCAATGTGAATTGCAAAATTTGCAATTATGAATCCTATGTGGCAAAGTTATTCTGACAACAATCCATTTGCAATTCAATTTGAAAGATGTATGTGGATGGTCTAACGCTTTTAGACATGACATTTTATAGTTTGGTCCTATAAATTAAAGTTATTAATATATTAGGATGCTTAGACGCATCCTATAAAGCCAATGAGGATCAATTCTTTACAATCAATCAAAAGTTTTGACAAGGGCTCATCCGTCATTTCATAGCAATCTTCATTTATTCAAAGCACAAGGCCTAAAAGGGAGAGGGAGACCGTTAAGGCAGAGCAAAATAAAGTCTCTGCCGCCATCTGTGTTGCCTGTGTTAAGGCAGAGCAAAATAAAAGCCACATTTAAAGGGTGTTTACTAGCTGTGCAGATCTTTTATTTAATTTAGGTAATTATCTCTTATTTTTGTAAATATATTCATTAGCCTTATTTGTAAAGATAACAATTCACAATTGGTATTTATATGCCTTACTATCAACAAAGAAATCATCTTCTTCACTTACAGATACAGGTATGTTTCCATCGACTATATGCTTTCGTTTCTGGGTTTTAACGTTTTCTAGTTAGATTTTCGGTAAATGCTCTTGTTTTGCTTCCAAAAGTTTTTAATTCTTAGCTGTTGATCCACTCTCCCCAGTCGCCAGTTTCTATTGAATTTTTTAGAAATAGTTAATATTTGTTATTTTTTTCCTTTTGTTAGAATCTTGATCTTCAGCTTATATGCTACGCTGTGTACATGTGTTCCACTTTTCGATAGGTTTAATTAGGTTTTGTTGCTTGATCTATGTGTAAAACCCTCATTAGAATCCACTTTGTGGATTGTTCTTGTTAAAGTAGATGATCTCTTTTACTTTAAAATGTGGCAAAAGGGAGGGAAAGGGGAAAAGTATGATATTTTCTTTTCTAAAATTTTCAAAACAGAATATCGTGATTGGGAAGTAGGACTTTCTTGCCTGTCTCTATTCTCTCTTAGTTAGATGGGTTATTGCCCTTTTTATAAATATAATTTCCATCTCTCTCTGTCTCTACGATATTGGATTTTTGGTGTTTCCTGTTTCATGTATATTTTGGTGATTAAAGGCTGAAGCTGGAGAAGAAAAAGAGAATATATGGAGGGAGACGCCGGAAGAGATTTGGGAGTCCAGAGAACTATGGATGGTAACGTGAATGATGAGGTTACTATCCCGTCTTGTTGCCTGAAGGCCCGAGCTTTCCCTCTGGACCCTGAGCTTGAAGCCAATTGTCATGCAACTGTGGTTTCTGGATGGTTCTCTGGTCGTTAATCTTCTTCTGTTCATCATTTACTTTCCCAGTGGGTGGTTAGTTTAGGATTTCGACTGTTTACCCCTTTTGATCATCATATGTTGTAAGTTTCAGATAAAGTTGGCAAAAACATGTACTTCAACAACCCCATGTGGCCAGGTATGTTGGACTGAGGTTCATGTTCGTCTACGCCTGTATGTTACAGTTGCATCCTGCATTCCATTTCTTGATTCAAGTAGTGATTTCAAACCCCAGTGACATTATTCAAATTTCAAAGCTTGGGAAGAGAGAGCGCTCAAACTGGGCAATAATTATTCTATAGAGAGTGAATTCACTAAAATACCAGGATATTTGCTATAAGCTTAGGAATGAAAATGAGGTTATAAATTAGTTCATAATTTTGTTGTTCCAGAGCATGGACCAGTCGTAGTTTGTAACATGCCAAAGCCAATAACAACCGACTGGCCCAATAACTTGGAATCCAACTTAAAACCATGGTGGAAGTTATTAATAGCCCATAACTTAAGCTTCTAAGGAGCTTACAAATCTCATTTTCTATCCACGTGGGACGAGTTGTTACATAGTTGCTGGGCTAGACAGGAAAAATGCTGGAAGGGTTTCTAGCAAAAATATTGTCTGTAAATCACCATCCTTTTTACAAAAAACTGATTGTCATTGCCCAATTGTACCAAGTAGCAACTGCTAATTAGTGTTTTTTTCGTGTGCAGGAGAAGCCCATTCTTTGGAAGTAGAAAAGATTTTGTTCAAGGAAAAATCGGAGTATCAAGAGGTCCTAGTTTTTGAGGTATCACATTTCAAGATCATTACTTGTACTTAATTGTGTCTCTGAATAATGAGTTCATTCTTAAACATCACTACACATGCTGAAATTTGATTTGCAGTCTGCATCATACGGAAAAGTGCTTGTCCTTGATGGCATCCTTCAGCTGACCGAGAAAGATGAATGTGCCTATCAGGAAATGATTGCCCATCTTCCCCTTTGCTCCATTGAATCACCAAAAAATGTAAGCCTACTATATACTTACTGATTTCAATAGATGCTTCCTGGGTGGGTATATATATATATATATATATATATATATATATATATA